AAATTATAATGAATAAATTCCCATGATAGAATCATCTAATAGATTAAAATTAGCTGGCCTTCTCAAATGCACGGAGGAAAATGATTGTTTAAGTTTTGCGGTAATAAAGAGTTGCATATTAAAATTTGGATTCAAACCAATTTAATACTTTATTTAGTACTTTATTATCTGGTATACTTGAAAAATTGATTACTATTTTGATATTGGCACACTCTTTGGAAATCAAATATGTAATACAATAGCCAGGCAGGCCTTACATTGGAAGCCACAGGGAAAAAAAAGAGTGGGAAGGATCCGCAACACATGGCGACGAACCACACTTAAAGAGATCGAATCCATTGGAAAGTGTTGGTCAGAATTAAAGTGCCTCGCCAAAAACAGAGATCGGTTCAGAGGATTTGTGGAAGCTCTGTGTTCCACCCGAGAATGAACAAAAGAGAAAAAAAATTGCAACCCTTTTAAAAATATCAAAATATGTCAAAATTACAGCTATAATTGTGTCATTTAAAAAAAGTAATTTCGAAAATGAACAAAATGGAAGAGAATCGAAATTTAAGTGAAAATAGCGAATCTGCTGCGTAGATGAAACTGAGTAAGTGTTGATTCTTTCTTTATAGACATATATAAAAAGTTTAAATTACGTGATATTTGTAAACGTATTTCTTGGACCGCACAGTGAGTACACATTTTGAATTACATTTGAATTTAAAAATATTAAATAACTTTTTGCGAATGTTATTAATTTCAAAAGTCAAATGATTAGAGTCATGTAATATCAGTGTCAACTTTACAGATGGTCATTTGCAGAAATCATAATAATCATCATATGAAATTTTTAAAAAGTGCTATGGTTGTGAGTAATGAAACCAACTTTCAACTAATGTTAAAAATGCGCTATAATAAAACATAGCGAAAAATGTTATTTTTTCGCGCTATTCCGATAACTGCCTGTTTTTATCACTAGGAGCATTCAAAACCCTGACAGATGTAGTATTTTTTTATTTTTTAATTTTGCAAGATCAAAATTCGAATTGAAGTAATAGAAAGAAAGCACAATTCTTAACACTGTTACAAGCTCTAATAATAAAATATTGCAAATTTTTCGCCGAATTTGCTATTTAAGTTTTTATTCTAAAATTCACAAATCTCAAAATAAATTTTGAAGAATAACACATGAAGTTCATCCTCTATTTTCGCAATTCAAGCAATTTTCATTTTATAACATTAGTTAAAACAAAAATATAATTTCTAATGAACTATTAGAAAATTGTTAACTATTTTCTAATTAACTTAACATAAAATTATAAAAAAGAACTAGAATGTTATAAAAGAATTAAAAAATAATTTCTTTAGAATTCTTTATAATTTAATTATATTTTTAGATTACGTAGCCTAACTATAGGGAATAAATGAGTATATGTGAAAACTTCAGAATATTGCTTTTAGGCATATCAAATCTATTATTTTAAAATATTTATGTAGAATTATCTTAGAATTGCTTTTATATACTACATATAATATAACGGTATACACATACGAACTAAAAACAAATTATGTCAACATAATTTTATATCCAATTTCTTTGTCATTTTAATTAATCTACTAAACATATTAATTAATTTTAAGTATACCCCAAGGTTCTTAATTTATTTTTTTTTTCCTTATTATGTTTAATAAGTGGTTGTAAGTGGTTATATGACATGTTTGGTCTCATTTTTAATAGAAAATATAATTATAAATATTGTTTTTTTTTCCTGTCTTATCTATGTACATACATATAATATGTGTGTATATATAGATTTGATTTTCAATGACAAGCGGCTTCATGACTCTTTAAAATTTCATTGATTGTGACCTTTTCTACTGTGTCCTTATATAAAAATTATTTTATTTTTTTTTTTGTCATACGGCAACTCCTATATTAATTTACTTCTTATAGTATAGAATATGCATACTTATACACAATTATAGATATATTTTTAATTATATTAATATTTGTAAAGAGTATGTTTGTATGAGTATGTATTTTTAGTTCAACTATTTTATAAATAAATTTTATATTTTGTGTTTGTGAATATTTTTTGTGTGTTATTTCATTATGTAGCCGCATGTTTAGTTAAACGGGATATTTATTTTATGCATGTTTATATTGTGTATGCATATATGTAGATGTATGTTAGCTGTCAAGAGTAAAAGTTTTTTTTTTTTCCTTATTATTTTCGTCTTTATTTTATTTTCAACATTTAAAATTGACAAATGTAGTTTTGGGTCAATGTTTACTCTTTACTATTTTTGTACTCACATATTTTAAAATATACAAGGGAAATTAATTTTTGTTTATTTTTTGTTTTGGTTGTTTTCATTAATTTTTTCTTTATTTGTCTCTCTCTAGTTTATTTTTTATGTTTTTCTTGTTATATGAGATATGAAATAAGACCCCATCAATTACAGTGAAAACAACATGCAATTTTTCAGTTATAATTTTCTATACATAACTTTAATTTTATTAGTTTTTAAAATTGTAGTTTCTGTTTTGTATGTATAAGAGATGAAAACTAAATTTGAATTTCAAATTGAGTTTTTCATTCAGATGAAAAGTATAAACCGAAGAATTGATTTCACGTACCTTGCCTCAGTTTTAATAAGAGTGGAGTGCATGACAAGATTGCTGAAACAACTACAAGTCAAACCAACACTTTTAGTAGAAAATATGAAACATGGATCACTTAGTGAAACCAACCAGTTTTTTTTTGCCAACTTTTTTCGGCTTGTCTGTTTCAGTAAGTGATTGCTCTCAATATTTCACCCAAACCATTGTTAAAGAAGTTTCAGAAAAAGCGTTTGTTTTTTCATATCAGAGACAGGCAAGCGAGGAAAACATTCTTCACATCATATGCTTCCGTGATATATTCCGTGATATATTAACGGCCCAGCTAGACATCCATAATTCTTAGTTGGAATTTCTTAACCATTTTAGTCAAGGAACAATCTCCGTCAACACCCTTGGTAATATACTATCATACACAATATGTCTATAGCGGTTTAGTGTCCATTTCGTTCTTGAAAACTCACTGAATTGGAGGAACAATTATTTTCGTGTAGTTATTGAGGATGACTCACTATATAATCAGTTTTATAATTTACTGATTTAAAGATACTGATTTACTGATTGAAAATTATGTGTAATATGCGAATAACGTGAATAATATAAATTTTAGTTTACTGGAACAACTATACGAATTTCTTCATTTTTCATTAAAAAATGCTATTAGTATTTTCTCTGTTTTGAAAAACGAGAAAACGAATTAAGGAAAACATGTTTAAGAGATAAACACACACATACACAAACAAACAATAATATCCCGTTTTAATTCTCTGAATAAACTTTTCATTTTATTTTTTTTTTTGGTTTTTGTTTTATTTCTGTATTTTTGTATGACAATTTTATGTCATGTTCATATAAAATATTATTTAAAACATTTCTCGTTGTTGTTGTTATTCTTGTTATACATGTACTAAGGAATGCTAATCGTAAAAATGTATATATGCACGTATGTATGGAAATATTTATATACAATGTACACAATACGAAGTTTATTTTTTAATGCTATCACACTTGAATTTTCAATCAATGTAATAGAAGAATAATAAAAATTTCTATGTATAACAATTTTCATTTCCATGTACAATTTTGAATTTTACACATAGTTTCTTAACGCGTTACAATTTTTTGATTATAAAATTTTTTTTTTTAATTCACCAGAGGATAACACATAGTTCTGTTAAGTTTATTTTAAATTTTTAATATAAAAGAGCATGTATGACATCTATCTGTTATAATACGAAATAACATTTTTGTTCTGTGAACTACTAAATTGCTGAATAAAATAATCGTGTATTAATGTTCGTCAGAATTTTTGGCAGTAGTGTTGATTTCGATTAGGATGCCTATAATGAAAATTCTTGAAAGTCTAGGTGAAATTGCGTTTCTTGAGGCTGTAAGGGTTTTTATGTGATCTCATTCAGAGAGAGAATGAAATCATATGAATAAGTATGAAACCAGTCTAAGTCGAAATTTTTCCTTATTTATTTCTCATATAAATTCGGAGTTTGTACAGCAGGTATATCCAATTGTTTTCGAATTCCCGAAGGTGTGTCTGGAAGTCAATGGTTAAAAACACGAATTTATAACTTGAAAAATTTTTGATTTAAGGCGACTTTTAATATTTATGATGTTCAATATTCATTTTCCTAATCATAAAATGGAATTCATTTATTTTGTGTTAAATTCAAAACTCATATTTTTCTATAAAATCCAATTTCATTAAAATAAAAATAAATTATTTTAATAGAGTAATAAATCAATATTTCAGAACGTATAGCGGAATTATTTTTTTTTTTTTATAAAAATGGCTTTTATCATGTTTAAAATTAAATTCACATTCAGAGTGTATAAAAACTCACACCACATTTCACACTCTTCATTGTATTTGTAACTAATAAATTGCAATAGAAGAGAATGAAAATTAGTTTTATATGAAACGTATACAAATTATATTGGTTATCTTTTGAACATCTTATGTAACATTATTTTAAGAATGGCGGAAAATTAAACATGAATGCCATACATGGAAAATTCACTTCAACAAGTTGAACACTATAGAAAATATTTTTCAAACAAAAAGAGTAATTTGACTTTTTAATATAGATAACAAAATTAGTAGCTCATAGAAAATTGCATAGTTACCTACATAGAAATATTTATACAACGCTGTATGTGTATGATAACACACACTGACATCTACCTCAAATTCACCAAAACTTAAACTTTCTCAATTTAAGTTAAAAATATTTCTAGTAAAAAATAATTTAACAACAAAAAAAAAAAAAACTTTAAATTAAATCTTAAAATATAACAGTAATTAAAATATAACTTTACTCAGGTAAAATAAAAAGAGAGGAGAGAAAAAAAAAATTTTTTTTTTATATATTTTTCTTACCTCCAATATGCTTCTCTTCTTGAGTATAGTAACGTGCCCGATGTCTTGAAAAACATACAGCCATTGCAAGTATTATAATTGTTATTAATACGAATATAATGCAACCCAATATTGCAAGTGTATTAAGGCCACCTATATATAACAGTAAATTAAGAGAAGAAAATAAACAAATACATTAATACAGTTATTGATAATGGCAGCGATTGTCATATTTGGCAGATATTATATTAAAAACTATATTAGAAGAAGAGTTCCTTCTCTAAGAATTAATGTGAGTTATTAGTTACTAGAGTCCGAATACAGCACGTGATCTAACTTCTAAACTTGAGATATCAATTTTTATAATAATTATTTTTTATGTCAAAAATTAGGTTAAAGCTACTTGCTGTCACTATTATTGCAAGAATCTATTATTCCCTTAACCCTTTCAGCGTTTTCGTTTCTAATTGATAACAAAAATTGGAAATCATTTTTAGAATATGTGAACATGTTACTCAACGATATTTTTAAATGTGGTCTGCAAGGGTTAAGTATCAAAACTTTAAATGAAATTTTTTGAATATTCCATACAACTTTCTTTGTATTTATTCGTTACAGTTGTGTGCATACCGCACATTTGTGAGAAAAATGAAGTAAGTCAAAATGCAGAGTTGTAAACATGTTTTTATTACTACAATACTTTAATATATAAAGCTTTTCTGTAACAAAATATTACAGAAAATTTGTTCATATGCTTGTAGGTTTCGATACTAATTTACACACGGCTATAAATACTTTAAATTCCGGAAGTCGAAGTTATTTTTTTGAATTGTGTCGTTATGGTTCCCAATGTGCGATATAATTGCGTGTAAAAAATCTTTTCCTTCATTAGAGTTTCTCGTTTTTATAAATCTACTGCTAATATAGAAATAAATTTCGAATATTTCCAAGCGGTTTGTTGTGAAATTAAATTCTGTGTCTTAATTACCATTAAATTTCTTAAATAATCCGATTCAGTTATTCGTATTAAATATCGTATTTGACTAAATTACATTGGGTTCCAGTTTTATTAAAAATTTTCACATTTTTAATTATTTATGTTATAATATTAAAGATTTCTTAATATTAAAAACAAAAGAATATTGTAATAATGTAAGTATTCATTTATTTATTTTTTCTTACCTTTATCAAGAAAGTTATGAGACGTGCTGGCGGCATTATTTTCTTCATCTGTTATAAATTCGAGGCACGTATCCAATCCCTTTAAATCGAGATCAGTTATTTCAGCACCACGTAAACTTTTTGGCAAAAAACAAATTGGATATGTTTCCCATTGTAACTATATGTGAAAAAAGAAAATAGTTTTTATATTTATAAAAAAGCAATATGTGTACTAAGTGTATATTATTATTGCTATTAAAATAATAATGTATGTAAATATGCAAATATTTATGTAATATACGCGTGCAAATGATTGTATGCATGCATATTTTAGAATAAAATTCAAAATAGAAGGAGGATGAGAGTATAAACCAGGGTAAGAAACAAGTTATTGGTAAAAAACATAAAATATTTTATGCATGAATTGTAGTATAACATAAAAGTTATAGGTAAAATAAATAAAACAAGCAGAAAAAGAAAAAATTAAAAATGAAAGCATTCTCTTTTTAATTAATGAAAAGGCAAGAAAATATTTTATATACATACATACAAGAAAAAAACTCATAATTTACTGTTAAAGAGAAAAGAACAAAACCAACGAAAATAAATACTAAAAAAAATTATTAGGGAAGTTTTTGAAAAAAAACTTTTATAACATAACAGCACGCACTTGTTGTAAACACAATCGGTGAATGCAATACATAATATTTATGTATGAACGTAGTTGTAAAAGAGGCTATAAAATAATTCATACATATCTATTGTTATACGATAAAATAAACTTTTAAATGGAATAAAGAAAATAAACTTTACAAAGAAAACTTAACTGAACTCTTAACACTTTTCTATCATAATATAAGGAATCAAACCCACAATTGTATGACAACATTAATTTTGATTTGAATATTTAAAAAAAAATTGCATACTTTCAGGGGTACGCTTGAATATAATTGAAATACGTATAGGGGGACAGTTGTTGTTCAAAATTAATCAATATAAAAATTAGCAAAGCAAAAATTTTAAACATTTTATTAATCAACTTAAAGAAACTTATACGTTGTGTAAGATTAAGTAAGTTAAAAGAATTTCAATTGTATTACTGATAAAAAACGAGAATAGATAAAATTGACCGCATCAACTTTGTAATACTCATACGAATTATTAATTTTTGCTGTATGTTAATTACAAATACTTTTTCACACATACTCATGGTTATTTTATATGAATAGTACTTTTATTCATATGCGGCAGTTAAGAATCTTAAAGAAAATTTTATTGAAAATAATGGCCATATTACCATATTCGTTTATACAAAATTTCAATAGTTCCCGTAATAAACAATCAAATAATTTTCGGACTTGTACGACAATTATTACAACAAGTCAAGAATACAAGCAAATTAAATATTTGCGATATTAACGTATAGCTACAAGAATTTCTCGGATATAGGTAAATATAGCTTTTGAAATTGTAGAGGAAGATCACATTCATTAATCATTTGTATCATTTGTGTCATTTGTGAGAATTTGGTAAGTTTAAGTAAGCTCGATTCGTTTTTGAATTATTGTTTTGACGGGCGGACGGATACACGGACGAATTTAATTAAAATTCCATATTATTTTCGAATTTTAGAATTCGTATTAGAAAACAGAATTAATTAGGAAAGTATTATAATATTTTCATTTAAAAAAATTATTTTCATAAATTAACAGCATATGTAAAACATTCTTAAATCTTGATCTGAAATTTTATATACTGACACATTATTAACGTACAATTTTCATCTTCATAGTCATAATCGTAATAATTTACATGTATGTTAAGATTTCTCTCAAGCCCTAATTCTTTCCTGTTGTAATATTAATTCTAATACAAGCAGATATGAATAAAATACTGAAAATCCCTATGAATATTACATAGAAATGTTTTTGGTTATAGAAAGTTGCATGCTAATAATAATTACCTCATGTGCAATACTGTTATATTACTATTGTTATACATAGTGTATGTTCATTATAACTATTATACTCATAATGAATGAATTTTAATGAAATCTATTTTGAATTTTAGAAAATTGATTTTTTGTTTATGTTTTACAATTTCATTAAAACTATTATATAATATTTATTTGCAAAAAAAAAGAAAAAATTAAATAGGGAATTGACATTTTAATCATAATATTGATTAAATTTTTCTCTCTCTAAAAAAAAGAACTTAAAATATTTCTTAATTTTATAAAATTACACAATTTGTATTATAAGATACCTTTTGGCGTTATTTTAATATTAATTGTATATATATATATATATATATATATATATATAATATCCTTGAAGTATGAAAATCAATTATCTCAAGAAAATTTAATAATTCAGAACACAATATGAGTAAAGACACATTTTTATATACAAATATATTTTATTGTTGTATACAATATTATTAAAATATTCATATCAACATATGTGTTATATGTGCGTACATATATTGTGAATTTTTATATGAATATTTCTAAGAAATACAAGAAATATGAAAATTTAATTATTATATATTATGTCGTATATGTATGGGTGTAAAAATTATATACAATAAATTTGTATAATGCACGTAAATTACAAGAAAATGGAAATTTTTTTTTTACAAAATTAATTTAATATAATTTAATATTATATTGAAAGTAAAGTTGTATGTGTTTGTGTGTTGTATATCCCATAATACATAAATGTTATTAAAGGCATATACATATGCATAACTATTATAATAATATTTAGTATGAAAATATGACAAAATATATTAAAATAAAAATCACAAAATATGATATTAAAATATATTTAAGGTATATAAATAATGACAATGTTATACAAAATGGAATAGAATATATTGGAGAGCATAAAGCATATATCTCAAAATTTTCTTAAATAAAAATTGTCATTTGAATTAAATGAGACAATACTGTTAAAAATGAAATTCAATTTAAAAAATTGATTGAATTTCGGAGAATTGAAATTTAATTGCTTTCGGGAATTAATTACTTATAGCACAATAAATGTAAAATTATCAAGAATTTAAAAGTATATTTTAGAAAATACAGTAATTATTTCTTGTATACAATTTAAAATTCATATTAGTTCTTAAAATTCCGAAATTATTTCAAAATTCTAGCAAAATATCTCGGTTTATTGTATTTAAACATGGTATATAAGACACTTTTTTATTATTGATTAAAATTACACCTAAACTGTAAAAAATTGGTTGAAAATTGCTTAAAAAAAATATACTAATTCTTACTACAAATTAATGTAGTATATATACGCTTTAGTTGATTAAATTTTACTTAATTTGAGAGTAATTATGCAGTTTACTCAATTAGCGAGAAAATTTCCGACAAAATCAAGAAAAAATTAATCCTGTATTGTGATTTTACTCTAAAAGAGAGTAATATTCATATATGAAGTTGAAAATTACTAAAAAGTAGAGTAAAATTTACATTGTTGAAGTAGTTTTAATTTTTTGCGAAGTATTTGTTGACATTACATTTTATATAGTAACTTTTATTGATAATAAATCAAGATTTTTGAATTTCTTCTCAGTTTTAATTGAATTCAGTTATTAATTGTTTTATATTCAATTATTTAAAATTGTTTAAATAATAAATATTTAAAATATTATTAATAACTAAATATCAAATTTTAATTTTTGAAATAATATTTGAAGAAAAGTAAAGTAAAATTTTTTTAAATTTCTATTTTATTTTATAATATGTGTAAAAATTCCAGCAAGGCTATTTAAAATTCCATAAGAAATATTGAAAGATAAAAATTATACAGTTATAGTAATACTCGAACAAATAGTATAACTTTTACTTTGCAATAAAGTAAATTATTATACCTGAAATATATCCAAAAAATAAAATTAGTAGTTCAGATTATTATTACCCATCGAAGGGTAATTTTTGTACTCTATTTAGTAAAAAAACTTACTCTAAAAACGCAAAAGTAAAATTCATGAATTACTCAACAGTTTAATATTTTACTATCGTCGAGTATTTTTACTCAATTGAGGCGCACAGCGCAGGCCTATCCAACATTATTGCAAAAATTAGTTATTATGTTCACTAGAGTTGCAGTGGCCTAAAGAATTGTTGTATATTTTCAAAGTTTATTCCTCTTTTCACTCTATTTTAACATAAGTTTGTTTTAGCTTTTAAAAAATTTTCTTAAAAATTAATTTCAGTTGCGATTTACTCGAAATATCATTTGTGCAAGTAGGCTACTAATGCGCTCAGATCATCAATTATATTAGGAATTTTACAAGTAAATTTTAAAGAATTTTTTTTTTTCAGTGTATAACATATAATTTATACGCAAAATTTCTAAACTATATAAAGACCACAATGATTAAAAAATGAAGTTAACCGGTTTTTGAAATTTGTGTTAAGAAAAGAAAAAGAGAATAGTCATCCATATTAAAAACAAATTGAGAGAGAAAAGAATTCTAAGTGCATTGATTATTTTGTAAAAAAATGATATATGAAAAATTTATATAATTATATATACGTATGTATATATATTATATACATATAACATATTAAAACTTTTAGAGAACCTGACAAGGCTTTGACAATTTAATGATAAGTAATATACTATATATATGTAAACTGTAAATAAATAACATTTCTAATGAAAATATATTTATTTATATAAAATGTAAAGTTGCCTTCATTATCTGAAAATAAGAGAGCATATAATGTAAGGTTATGAAAAAGTAAAAGAAAAAACAGAAATAAAAAAAATTTAATAAGTTAAAAGTAGAAAGAGTATATAAAATAAAAGAAGACACTAATTGAATAATAAGAAGGATAAAAATGACACTATATGAATATTTAGAATAAGGATTAAAGCATCACATTTTGTTATTATATTGGATTATTTTTCATATTATATATGAAATATACAAACTTCACATACATATAAGCATAAATAATGTAAATATTTAAGTTAATGTCAAGAATAAGTCAGTTTAAATAAAAATAATGTAAAGAGAATGAAGAGAGGGCGAACAAAGTAAAAATATTCCGTTTAGTATTTTCTGACAACTATAATTATTTTATACCCTACATACGTAGGGTATAAAAAAAGCTTATAAAAGCATTAAATTTTGTTATAGTACTAAAAATATTTT